ATCTCATCAGCTATAAGTAACTATAAGGACTTCATCTAAGTAACTATAAGGACTTCATCTAAGCAGCTATAAGGACTTCATCTAAGTAGCAACCTAACTACAAACTTTTCGGAAGCCCCTGGAAGCCCACCACAGCTCAATGTAGTAGCTTTTCCTGTTTTCATTTCCTTGTGAAATACCATTTAATCTTCTGAGAGGCAATGAACTTTGGTTTCCATGTGAGTATTTTCTACCTGGCACTACATTAGAACCAGCATCAGACGCACCACCAGTCTTGCTTTAGTAATGACATACTCAGTAAGGCCAAGATCTTAGCAGTGCATCACAATTACCGGGAGAGCTTACTGAAAATAATGCAGGTTCTCGAGCTACACCTCACTGGTTCAGATTCAGTAGGTCTTGGGTGACATGTGCATTTTCAACAGGACTCTCCAGGTGATCCTAATGGGGTTTGGGTAACATCCACAATTTCAGAAACACTGGTCTTAGGGGCAGAGGCCAGAATTGCTTCTTTCTCAGAATAAGACAGCAGTGCCCAAAGGCAACAGATTGCCCTAGGTCCTCCTTGAGGAGGTCTAATAAAGAGGCCATGTAAACTTGTCTTCAAAGACCGGGGTGAGTTTCCTTGGTGAATGACTCTGTCAGTGAACTGACCAATGGACTCAGCACTTCACTGGACTTGAGGATAAGCAGCAAATTCCAAAAGTACAGAAAAGTATTGGCTGCTTCTGGTCTGGGGACCCAAAGTACAATCCTTTCTTTTCTCACTGATGTCGGGCTAAGGAAGCCACATAGACCCACACAGATAATATGTTGTTTGGGTAAGCATGAATGTATACAGCTAGAGCAAATTCTGTCTGGGGAAATTCAGAAGAGTGGATTCCAGTTTTATATACTGCATCAATAACTGACTGGACATCAGTGTACGGCATCTGGATGGGGAATCCGGAGACCTGGAGCAAAAACATAAACCATACAAACTCACATGACAATCATGAAGATGATCTGGAATAAGAAGACCTAAGCAGCCTCAAAGAAATGGTGACCATAAAGTAATAATAGTTGACATGTTCTATGTACTATGTTCTAGGTATAGTGCTAAATTCTTTAATCCTCAGACAACCCTACGAAGTAGGTTCTATACTACATCCTTTTAAATCCTTTGACTAGAGAGGAGCAGAACCAGGTCTGTCTGATCCCAGAGCCTGCACACTTAGCAATCCATATACTGGCACTCTTTGTAGAGGAGCAAGCTACCTACAAAGAAATTGTTTTCCTAAAAGCAAGGGATCTAAAATGAGAAGTTTGGGAGAATTTATTCACTATTGGTTCAACTTATACATATTAAGTAACTAGTATGTGATAGGATTAAAGAATTGTGGAATAGAGGTCCATGTCAAATGATCTATTTAATAATGCATTCTTGACAAACATAATCTCTTACAAGCCTTAGATTACTTCTTCCCAGAGGGTTTCCTGACTTTTAAATCTGTTCACATTCACTTGTTACCATGTGGCTTCCTAGTACACTGTTATTCCCCTAGCAAAGTAATTACCAAACTATATTGCAATGACCTGTCTAGTAGTCTGTCTAAATAGTCCATAATCTCTGTGAATGGAAGGGATTGTATTAACTCCAGTGCCTATTACAATGTTTCGCAGATAGAATAATATAAACAATAGTTAACATTTACTAAGAAGTAACTAGAGCCGTCTTAAAACCACACGGCCACCATTCGTCTATCAATTTGTTGTACTGTGGTTTTGCGAGTTGCTGTGATTCTGAAAGCTATGCCACCGGTGTTTTAAATACCAGCAGGGTCACCCATGGTGGACAGGTTTCAGATGAGCTTCCAGACAAAGACAGGCTAGGAAGAAAGAGTGACGAACTACTTCTGAATATTTAGTCACTGAAAACCTTATGAATAGCAAAGAAATACTGTCAAATACAGTGCTGGAAAATGAGCCCCTCAGGTTGGAAGGCACTCAAAATGTGACTGGGGAAGAGCTGCCTCAAAATAAAGTTCACCATGATGACACGAATGGAGTAAAGCCCATGGGAGTAAAACCCGTGGGACCTTAATTTGCTGATGGGGCACACTCAAAATGAAGAGAAACAGTTATAAACATCCATTGAAAATCAGAACATGGAATGGACAAAGTATGAATCTAGGAAAATTGGAAATTGTCAAAAATAAAATGGAACACATAAACATCAATACCTTTGGCATTAGTGAGCTGAAATGGACTGGTATTGGCTATTTTTAATCTGACAAACACATGGTTTACTATGCCGGGTATGACAAATTGAAGAGGAATGGTGTTGCATTCATTGTCAAAAAGAACATACCCAGATCAGTCATGAAGTACAATGCTGTCTGTGATAGGAAAATATCCATGTGGCTATAGGGAAGGCCAGTAAATACTACTATTATTCAAATTTACACACCAATCACTAAAGCCAGTGAGGATGAAACAGAAGAATTCTACCAACTTCTTCAATCTGAAATTGATCAAACATGCAATCAAGATGTATTGATCATTATTGGTGATTCGAATGCAAAGGTTGCTAGCAAAGAGAAAGGATCAGTAGTTGGGAAACATGGCCTTGGTGATAGAAATGATGCTGAAGAACACATGGTAGAATTCTGCAAAACCAATGATTTGTTCATTTCAAATACCTACTTTAGACAGCATAAGAGACGAGTATACACATGGACCTCACCAGATGGAATACATAGAAATCAAATTGACTACATCTGCTGAAAGAGATGATGGAAAACTTCCATATCATCAGTGAAAACAAGACCTGGGGCAGACTGTGGAACAGACCATCAATTACTCATATGCAAATCCAAACTGAAGCTGAAGAAAATGAAAACAAGTCCACGAGAGCCAATACGTGACCTTGAATATATCCCACTTGAATTTAGAGATCATCTGAAGAACAGATTTGATACATTAAACACTAAAGACCAAAGACCAGAAGAGTTGTAGGATGACATCAAGAACATCATACATGAAGAAAGCAAAAAGTCATTGAGAAGACAAGAAAGAAGGAAAAGGTCAAAATGGGTGTCAGAAGAGACACTGAAACTTGCTCTCCAGCGTAGAGATGCTAAAGCAAATGGAAGAAATGAGGAGGTCCAAGAGCTGAACAGAAAATTTCAAAGATCAGCTTGAGAAGATGAATCCAAATATTACAACAAAATGTGCAAAGATCTGGAATTAGAAAACCAAAAAGGAAGAACACGCTCAGCATTTCTCAAACTCAGGAACTGAAGGAAAAAGTCAAGCCTCGACTCGCGTTATTGAAATATTCTCTGGGCAAATTATTGAATGATGTAGAAAGCATCAAGAGAAGATGGAAGGAATACACGGAGTCACTGTACCAAAAGGAAATGGTTAATGTTCAACCATTTCAAGAGGTAATGATACTGAAGGAGGAAGTCCAAGGTGCATTGAAGGAATTGGCAAAGAACAAGGCACCAGGAAGTGATGGAATACAAATTGAAATCTTTCAAGAAAGTGAGGCAGCACAGGAGGCACTCACTCATCTCTGCCAAGAAATTTGGAAGACAACTATCTGGCCTACTGATTGGAAGAGATCTATATCTGTGCCTATTCCAAAGAGAGGTGACCCAATGGAATGCGGAAATCATTGGACAATCTCTTTGATACCCCATGTGAGTAAAGTTTTGCTAAAGGTAATACAGAAACATCTACAATCAATATATTGACAGAGAACTTCCAGAGGTTCAAGCCAAATTCAGAAGAGGACGTGGAACGAGGGATATCATTGCTGATGTCCGGTGGATCTTGGCTGAAAGCAGAGACTATCAGAAAGATGTTTACCTGGGCTTTACTGACTACGCAAAGGCTTTTGATTGTGTGGATCATGACAAGCTATGGACAACATTGTGAAGTATGAGTATTCCAGAACACTTAATTGTGCTCATGAGGAATCTGTACCTAGACCAAGAAGCAGTTGTTCGAACAGAACATGGAAACACTAAATGTTTTAAAATTAAGAATGGTGTGTGACAAGGTTGTAGTCTTTCACCATACTTATTCAACCTGTATGCTGAGCAAATAATCTAAGAAGCTGGGCTCTATGAAGAAAAACGTGGCATCAGGATTAGAGGAAGACTCATTAACAATCTGCGATATGCAGGTGACACAAACTTGCTTTCTGAAAGTGAAGAGGACTTAAAACATTTACAGATGAAGATCAAAGAGCACAGCCTTCAGTATGGATTACATCTCAATGCCAAGAAGACAAAAATCCTCACCACTGCACCACTAAACAACATTCTTATCAACGGAGAAAAGTTTGAAGTTGTCAAGGACTTCATTCTTCTTGGATCAACTATCAACACTCACGGAAGCAGCAGTACAGAAATCAAATGAAGTATTGCGTTAGGCAAATCTGCTGCACAAGATTTTTTTAAAGTGCTGAAGAGCAAAGATGTCAGCTTGAGGACTAAGGTGCACCTGACCCAAGCCGCATGCAAAAGCTGGACAGTGAATAAGGAAGACCGTAGAAGAATTGATGTTTTTGAGTTATGGTGTTGGAGGAGAATATTGAAAGTGCCATGGGCTGCCAAAAGAACCAATAGATCTGTTTTGGGATAAGTACAGCCAGAGTGCTCCTTGGAGGCCAAGATGGCCAAACTTCGTCTCTCATCATTCAAACATATTGTCAGAAGGGACCAGTCACTGGAGAAGGATATCATGTTTGGTAAGGTCAGAGAAAAAGAGGAAGACCCCCAACGAGATGGATTGGCCAAGTGGTAGCATTGATGGATTCAAGCGTAGTGAGGTTGGCACAAGATCGGGCAGTGTTTCGTTCTGCTGTGCATAAGTTTGCTATGGGTCGGTACCGACTCAATGGCACCTAACAACAACAACAACTAGATCCGTGGTGTGTCGCTGTAGGCTAAGCACTGGACTGTTAACCACAGTGTCAGGAGTTCAAACCCACCAGCAGCTGTTGGAGACTCTATACAGGGTTGCTAGGAGTCGGAACCAACTTGATTGCATACAACAACAACAAAAATAGGGTATTGGATGTTATTCTCAGTATTAACTATGTTAAGCCTCATCACAGTGTCAAAACAGATAGCTATATTTATTCTTATTTATTGAATGGAATAGAAGGTATAGCAATTTTAGCTAATTTGCTGTAGGTGAAAGTTAGTAAGGGGTTGAGTTAGTATTTGAACCCAGAGTACAGGGTTCAGTCCAGTTTTATGATTATCAAATTTATTAAATAGATATCTTAACATAGAAGCTACAAGTTTTAAACCTTGGCTTATGTTTAACTATGCTTTATTATCTGTTTACCCTTTAACTCAACTAAAGACAAAACAAAAATAGCTTTCTCCCTCTTCATGACGAGTAGTGCCACAGAGTCCTCCCTGGCAGCCTAAGGACTGATAATCTGTACTCCCTCACCTCTCAGGAGATCCTGCCCTCCTTCTTAAGGGATTTCCTCAGGAGATAACTTCTAGTCTATTGACTGCTAGGAGGAAGGAATCTCACTCTTGTACTGTTGGGATTCACAGAGAAAAAGGAAGAAGTGAGGATGCTTAGAATTGAGGTTTGAATAAAGGAAGGAAAGAAGGACCGTAACAATATATTAAATGCCTATCATATATGGTTATGGGCTTGTTGAGTTTGAGTTGTCTTTTAATTATCCAAAAAGATGTCAAATGGCTAGGTGAATGTATAGGACTGGAGGTTAGGAAGAGAGGTCCAGGCTGGATATAAAATTTGGGAATAATGACCATAGAAAACATAGTTTCATATGAAAACTTCCTTAGTCAAGTTGTTTGCCAGGGACCATCAAGGCAACAATCAAATCCCTTTAGGACAAACTTCCCTGCAAGACTGAAACTCAAAGGGAACACATGAGTAGCCACGTAAACTTGCAGGCGACCATGTTGGTCTACTGGTGGGTAGAAAAGGAGGAAAGGCAGCAATGAAGATATATAGGCTGAGTTCGACCATATTCTATAGACTCCCATTGATCTGGAAGAGAGAGAAGAGGAAGGGCTGGTTGGTCTGAAGTGTGGTGAGACCTGGGGACTCCTGAACCCATGAGCAAGGAAATAGCCATGGAGGGCTAGAACTGAGAGCAAAGCGTCCAGCTGATAGGAAGCGAGGGGAGATGCACAGAATGCCCAATCTTGTAGATTGCACCCATTTGGCCTACTTTGATGGCTTGATAATCAGAACTCAACTAGAGGAATATTAAAAAAAAATTTTTTTTTTTAAATTGATAAGGAAAACAAGTAAATTGCTATAATTTGATGAACTTGACCTATTACTTATGGATATGTTGTTGTTAAGTGCTGTTGAGTTGATTCCGACCCATAGCGACCCTGTACAGGGTTTCCAAGGCTGTAAATCTTTACGGGAGGAGACCACCTCATCTTTCTCCCACAGAACTGCTGGTAGTTTCGAACTGCCGACCTTGAGGTTCTCAGCCCGATTTGTAACCACTATACTACCAGAGCTCCTACTTATGGATGTAGTAGCTCAAAATACCAACTGAGAGGGAAGAAGTCTTTATATCAAGTATTAATCCTATCCCCTCTGTACACAGGGTTGATAGGGACGGGCAACTTAGACACTGGCTACCTAAAATGGAGAGGGGAGGGCGGGCAGGCTTGTGAAAAGCGATGGGGATAAGATTCTTATGATTCAATAATGATTAATTGTATCATGACTAATTATGACTGTCACAACTGTAAAGGTAGAAGTTTTCCACTTTTTTTTTTTTTTTTTAAGTTTTTTTGTGTGATTTGAGTGAAAGTTTACAGGGCAGATCATCAGTTTTACATTCAACAAATCATATACTTTGTTTCATAACAATGATTATAACCCCCTCCATATATCGTCAGTTAAGAGTATTTCTCTCTATTCATTTTAAATCTTTTTTTTTTTTTAAACACTGAGACATATATGATAATTTAAACCACCAAAGGGCACATTCTGCAAGCCTGTCTCCTGGTCACCAGCTCGCAGTCCTCTCTTTCCATGAATCTACAGTCCTCAGCTGCTCCCTCTCTCCATATCCGCATCTCTGCCTCCATCTCTGGAGTTGCTACGTCTCTGAATAGGGTCCTGCATTCTGCTATGCTCTTCTACCTTGATGGTCCTAGGGTCCTCTGTTCCTGGACTGTATAATTGACTACTACCCATTTTTGTTACAAAATTTCTACCTTTAGAAAATTGAGACAGTCGCAATCAGTCATGATAACAATCACCCGCTATTGAATTATAAGAATCTTATCAGCATCTCTTTTTCACCAGACCCATCTAGACAAGATGAAAACTATTCAGTGGAGACTCTATCTTCCTCCACACACTCTTAAACTCAACTCCTGCTTGAAGCTTTGTGACCCAGTCACTTTGTGCCTTTATTGCCTCCTCATTTTAGGTAGCCAATGTCTAAGTTGTCCATCCCTATCTACTCTTTGTACAGAGTGGATAGCATTGATACTTGATGTGAAGACCCATTCCCTCTCTGTTGGTATTTTGAGCTACTACATCCATGAGCATAGGTCAAGTTCATCAAATTGTAGCAATTTACCCTTGCTCTGGTAGCGTAGTAGTTATGAATCAGGCTGCTAACCTCAAGGTCGTCAGTTTGAAACTACCAACTGTTCCAAGGGAGAAAAATAAGGCTTTCTGTTCCCAAAGATTTGCAGCCTTGGAAACCCTGTGCAGGGTCACTATGAGTCAGAACTGACTCCATGGTACTCAACAACAACAACCCTTGTTTCCATTATATATATATATATATTATCATCCTCTAGTCAAGTTCTGATTATCAAGCCATCGAGGCTAAGTCAAATGGGTACTATGTGCAAGAGTTTGGGTGTTCTTGTGAAAGGTAGAAGTTTTGTAACAAAAAGGGAGGAGTACTTAATCTTACAATCCAGGAATAGAGGATCTTTGAACCATCAAGGGAGAAGAGCATGAGTGGAATGGGGGACCCTATCCAGAGAAGCAGCAACACCAGAGATGTTGGCAGAAATGATAACATGGAGAGATAGAGCAGCTGAGGACTCTAGACTCATGGAAAGAGAAAGGTTGTGTGCTGGCGGTCAGGAGACAGGCTTGCAGAATGTGCCCTTTGGTTGTTTAAATGATTATATATTCCTGAGTGTTTTTGTGTATATCCACCTCCCAAAAAAAACAAAACCCCGAGGGAATAGAAACAAATACTGTTGAATGATGATACATAGAGGGGATTGTAAACGTGCAATGAAATAGGAGTGTGAAACCTATGTTCTTCCATGTAAACTATCACTCAATTCACAATAAAAACTTAAAAAAAAAAAAACAAAAAAAAATCCTTGCTTGGAGTCCTCTTGTCCAGAACCAAGGGCAATTAGTCCAATCTACTACTAGTTTCTTGGTTTCTTTGCTGCAGGGTGGTTTCCTTCTGGGCATCTCTACTCAAACTTTGTAGTTCACCCTCAGAAACTACATGGGGCTTAAACAAATTCATCGAAAAATTCAATTATCTTTTCATTTCATTTTCCATGTACTTTTTGAAGCTCCCTCGTATGTGATTGGTTCCAAGAAAATGCCATGCAATGTGGTCCTTGAAACAGTTGTTCACGATATTTAAAATTCTTTGGTCTATAATTACAGTTTAATGCCATAACACTTATCTTCTAGGGTCAGATAAAAGGCATTTTAGGAAAATTTAAGATTGCTATTAGATGGTAATTAACCATACAGATAAAACAAATGTCATCAGTACAAACCCAATCCTATACAAACCCAATAGAATTGTAGTAGTCTTTCAAATTCACTCTCTTTTTCACATGAAACAAAGCTTCCTGTTCCAAGTTCCAGCTTAGGGAGGATTTGTCGCAAAATAGAAGTGCATTGTCGATTCCAACGTGTTGGCTGTTTAGGTCGCCATTCCATCATTTTACATTTTAGAGTCCTTTCAATCCTGAAACAAGAATGCAAACATTATTTTTGACAAATAACGACTAGTTTAAAAATGAAACACGAGTTTTGTAACTTTTATTCAAGTATGAGAATGAAACTTTTTGGACTTAAGAAGAAATCAGACCTCTATCACCAGTGAGCTGAAATGGACTGATAGTGAACTGAAGTGGACTGGTATTGGCCATTTAAAATCAGACAATCATATGGTTTACTTTGCCAGGACTGACAAATTCAAGAGGATGGTGTTGTATTCATTGTCAAAACAACATTTGAAGATCTATCCTCAAGTACAATGAGATCTATAATAGAATAATATCCTAAAAGGAAGACTAGTTAATATTACTATCATTCAAATCTACCCACAAATCACTAAGCCCAATGATGATTACATTGAAGCATTCTGCCAGCTTCTACAGTCCAAAATTAATTGAACACAATCAAGATGCATTGATAATTACTGTTGATTGGAATGCATAAGTTGGAAAAAAAGAGGAAGTATTAGTAGTTGGAATATATAGCTTTGGTGACAGAAACAATGACACTGGCTATCTTATGATAGAATTTTGCTAGATCAATGACATATTCATTGCAAATGCCTTTTTTCAACAACATAAAGAATGACTGTACACGTGGGCCTCACCAAACAGACTACACAGGAATCAAATCAACTGTATCTGTGGAAAGAGACTATGGAGAAACTCAATATCATCAGTCAAAAAAAGGTCAAGAGTCAACTATGAATAGAGTATGGACTGCTAATATGCAAGTTAATGTTGACGCTAAAGAAAATTAAAACAAGTTCAGGAGAACCAAAATATGGTCCTGAGTGTATCCCATCTGAACTTAAGAGACCAGCTCAAGCATAGATTTGATGCATTGGATACTAATGAATGAAGACCAGAAAAGTTGTGGGATGACATCAAGAACATCATACGTGAAGAAAGCAAGTGGTCATTTAAAAAGACAGGAAAGAAAGAAAAGGCCAAAATGGATGTCAGAAGAGACTCTGAAACTTGATCTGGAACTGAGAGAAGCTAAAGCAAATAGAAGAAATGATGAAGTAAAAGAGCTTAATAGGAGATTTCAAATGGCACCTTGAGAAGACAAAGTAAAGTATTTTAGTGAAATGTGCAAAGATCTAGAATTCGAACATTTAAAAGGAAGAATACATTCAGCATTCTCAAGCTGAAAAAAGTGAAGAAAAAAGTCAAGGGTCAAATAGGGATCCCTGGTGTTATATTGGGTCATGCATTAGGCTGCTAATCACAAAGTCAGCAGTTTGAACCTACTAGTCATTCTGTGGGGGAATTGAAGAGGCTTTCTGTTCCCATAAAGATTTACAGTCTTGGAAATCCTATATAGGGTCAGTATGACTTGGACGGCATTGGTTTGTTTGTTTGTTTGTTTATTTTTTGTTCAGTGATTCTGTATCTTCTTTCCATCTTCTTTTGATGCATCATTCAATATTCATCAAAAGAAGATGGCAAAGGCTCTGAGGATCAGACTTTAGCCACCTAGCAGACATAGCAAACTGTCCCTCATCTGATTATTCAGTTATGCTTGTTAGTAATCGCATACATGAGCCCTGGATATCCACAGATAAATGTAAAAACCTTCCCTAAAAGCCGAGACTGTAAATTCCAGAAAGGCAAAGTTTCCCCCCCACTCCCCCCCACCAAAAAAAAAAGCTAAAGAGGATAGAGAGAAACACTGTTAACTGATGATGTATGGAGGGGATTATAATCAATGTAATAAAACAAGTCATATGAATGGTTGAATGTGAAACTGATGATGTGCCCTGTAAACTTTCACTCAATCCACAATAAAAATTTAAAAAAAAAAAAAAAAGAAGATGGCAAGAAGACACAGAGTCACTGTACCAAAAAGAATTGATCCATGTTCAATCATTTCAAGAGGTAGGATATGATCAAGAACCAATGGTATTATTCTCCCATGTAAACTATCACATGATTCATAATAAAACACTTAAACAAAAAGAACCAATGGTACTGAAGGAAGGAATCCAAGCTGTACTGAAGGCATTGGCAAAAACAAGGCTCCAGGAATTGACAGGTACAAATTACAATGTTTCCAACAAACTGATGTAGCACTGGAAGCACTCACTGGTCTATGCCAAGAAATTATGAAGATAGCTACTTGGCCAACTGATTGGAAAATCCATACTTATGCCCATTTCCAAGAAAGGTGACCGAAAGGAATGTGGAAATCATCTAACAATATAATTAGCATAACATACAATTAAAATTTTGCCAAGATAATTTTTTTTTTAATGGTTGTAGCAGCACATCAACAGGGAGCTGCCAGAAATTCAAGTTAGATTCAGAAGAGGACATGGAACAAGAGATAACACTGATGACATCAGATGGTTCTTGGATGAAAGCAGAGAATACCAGAAAGATGGTCACTGTGTTTTATTAACTTTGCAAAGGCTGTGCATCATTACAAACTATGGATAATGTTGCAAAGAATGGAAATTCCAGAACACTTACTGTGCTCACAGAGAACCTGTACGTAGACCAAGAGGCAGTTGTTGGAACAGAACAAGGAAGGAAAAGTGTACATCAAGGTTATAACCTTTCACCGTATGTATTCTGAGCAAATAATCCAAGGAGCTATGTATTATAGGAAAAAGAAAGTGGCATCAGAATTGGAGGAAGACTTACTAACAACCTATGATATGCAGATGACACAACCTTGCTTGCTGGAAGCAAAGAGGACTTGAAGCACTTGCCGATGAAGATCAAGACCTCAGTATGAATTGTAACTCAATGTAAAGAAAACAAAAACTCTTACACCTAAAGGGTTAACATCATGACAAATGGAGACAAGACCAAAGTTGTCAAAGATTTTACTTTACTTGGATCCACAACTAACACTCATGGAAGAAGCAGTCAAGAAATCAAATGGCATATTGCATTGGGTAAATCTTCTGCAAAAGACCTCTTTTTTAGTGTTAAAGAGCAAGATGCTTTGAGGATTAAGGTGCACCTGGACCCACATCATTATGCTTAAAAGCTACTGGGTAGCAGAGCAAATAAAAAATGGGGGGAAAAAATTCCCTGAGTCAAATGAGAATGAAAACACAACTTACCAAAACCTTTGAGATAGAGCAAAAACAGTGCTCAGAGGGCAATTTTTTTTTTTAAGTTTTTATTGTGAATTATGTGGGTTTACATGGGAGAACATCAGTTTTACATTCAACCTTTCGTATTTCACTTCATTGCAATGATTACAATCCCCTCCATGCATCATCAAACAACCAAAGTGTACACCCCACAGGCCTGCCCCACCCCCCAACCTTCAGCACACAGCCCCTCTCCCTGCCTGAGTCCAGTGTCCCCAGCCACTCCATCTGTCCACGTCATTGTCTCTGCCTCCACTTCTGGCATCACTGCTTCTTTGGGTAGGGTCCTGCACTCTGCTCTTCTCACTTGATGGTCTCAGGGACCTCTGCTCCTGGACTGCAAAATCAATCACTCCCCTCCTTTTGTTACAAAACATCTACCTTTACATTTCTGAACCTCACAGTCAGTCCTGATAGCAATTATTCACTATTGTAACACAAGAGTCTTATCCACATCTCTGTTTGTTAGCCCCATCCCAACAGATTGGAAACCATTCAATGGAGATTCTACTTTCCCCCGCCCCGTCTGGAACTAGGTTCCCTCTTGAAAGCTTGTAAGCCAGTCACTTCTTGCCTTTGTAGCCCTCCTCCCCCATTTTGGGTAGCCAATGTCTAAGTTGCCCATCCCTGTCAACCCTGTGTACCAATGGGGTGGGAGTGATTCTCATTGTAAAGATTTGTTCCATTTTTTGAGCTATGAGTCACTATGAGTCGGTTCTGACTCCATAACCACCACCACCACCACATCCATAAGTATAGGTAAAATTCATCAAATTGTAGCGAGTTACTCATTGTTTTCCTCTTCTTTCTTCTTCTAGTCAAGTTCTGATCATCCAGCCATTGAAGTCAGGTCAAGTGGGTACTATTGGAAAATATGTGTGTTCTTGTGCATCTCCCCTCACTTCATATTAGCTGGACACTTCACTTTCTGCTCTAGTCCTCTGTGGCCATGTCACTGCCTCTGGGCCCAGGAGTGTCCGGGTCTTGCCATACTGCTGATCAACCAGGTCTCCATCCAGGTTCACAGGAGTCTTTTGAGTGTGGTTGGACTTAGCTCCCCACTTCATTGCTGTTTTTTCCCCTTATTGGTCACCAGCTAGACCACATGCCTGCTTGTGTATTCCTCTTGAGTCTTAGTCTTGGAAGGTGACCCGACCACTTGCCTTGATAGCTCTTGTGCGAACAGCTTGTTTGTTCTTGTAGTAATCAATCAGACTGCCATTATTGTTTTTGATTTTTCCTGCCGGTCTTTCTTTCATAAAGTACCTTCTAGCTGCTCCAGGCTGGTCTACTTGTCCTTTCAAGTAGAAATTTCCCACCTCAGACGATTCTGGATGGGGTTCAGGACTCCACCTATGGTCTTATGCAATGTAAAGGCCCCATAGGAAGCCTCTTTCACTGGGCAACTTCTAGCCCCCTTTAAGGTATTTTAATCAGTTATAAGCTGAAGATGGACTTACAAGCTTTCTATTGTAATATTTCTGGCTATTCCTTTCTCCACCCCTCAAGTATCTATTTTACAATGGTAGGCAAGGGAAAGCAAGATTCAATAGAACAGCCAAGCATCTTAACATTATTCCCCTCTTTTACCCATTCAAACCATGCCTCAATCCCTGTACCCAGACCCCTGTTGTTCCAAGGTTGTGCATACATCACCATTTAACTCTGTCCCACTTAACCCATGCAAACTTGCCCAACTGTTCTCCCATCTGCCTTGTTCTTCCATTATCCTCCTCCTTCTTGTCTATTGTACCCTCTCTGCTACCCCAGCACCCAAGCTATCCTGTGTCTATTCCCTACCCTGTGCTCTATGTTCCCCTTCCTCTCCTCCCCTCATCCCATATAACCCGGTGATCAGTATATATATAATTTCTTTTTCCCCTTTTATGGTGGTTTCTTTTTCTTAATCTTTTACAATAATGGTCCTATATGCAGTATTTCTCCTTTTGTGACTGACTAATTTCACTCAGCATAATGTCCTCAAGGTTCATCCATGTTATGTGGTGGTTTGTAGCTTCCTTATTATTGTTTCAAAGGGCAATTTATAGCAACAAATGCACACATCCAAAAAGAAGAAAGAACCAAAATTAAACCAACAAAATCACATCAAATATCTGCAACAATGGGAAAAACAGCAGCAAAGTAAGCCTACTTTGAGAAGAAAAGAAATAATAAAGGTCAAAGCAGAAATAAAATAGAAAAAAACAATAGAAAGAATCAGCAAGACAAGTAGTTGGTTCCTCGAAAAGATTAATAAAATTGACAAGCAAATGGCAGATCTACCCAAAGAGAAAAAGAAGCTATAAATAATATGAATAAGATGTTGTGGGTGAGTCACAATAGACTCAATGAAAATAAGAAAGACTCAATGAAAATAAGAAGGATGATAACAGAATACAATGAAGAGTTGTATGTCAATACATTTGAAAACCTAGAAGAAATGGACACATTTGTAGAAACACATAACCTACCTAAACTAACACAGACTGAAGCAGAAAACTTGAACAGGCCTATAAGAAGAGAAGAAATTGATAAAAGCACTAAAAAAAAAAAACCTTTCCCAATTAGATTTCTTTGGACTGAGAACCAGTCAGAGCAGACAACAACCAGAGATTGATATACATGTCAACACCAACTGGAACTCAGTCCAGATATGGAAGAGCCCATAGCAAAACAAAACTACAAGACTGAAAATAGGGGATCTGGGATGTCAGTCTATCTATGATCAAGATAACTACAAAGTGAAGGGAGGGAAAAGTATAGTTACAGAGTTCCAGGTGGTGAGGAGGTAAGGTAGATTGCAGGATAAAAACTCCCAACTAAAATAGGTCCAGGCCCAGAAAGCTTTACTGGTGAATTTTACCAAACATTCAGAGAAGAGCTGACACCAACTCTACTCAAACTATTCCATAATATAGATGGCACACTCCCAAATTTATTTTATGAAGCAAATATAACTCTGATACCAAAACCAGGCAGAGACATCTTGAAGAAAGAAAAGTATAGACCAGTATCCCTCATGAACATAGATGAAAAAATCCTAGCAAATACAATCCAACAATATATATTTAAAAAATTATACATCATTGTTGTTGTTGTTGTTGTCAGGTGCCATCAATTCAGAACTGACTCATAGCGACCCCATGCACAGCAGAACGAAACAATGTCCGATCCTGGGCCAGCCTCATTACCGCTGCTACACTTGAGTCCATCAATGATGCCACCTGGCCAATCCATCTCGTTAGGGGTCTTCCTCTTTTTCTCTGACCCTCCACCTTACCCAGCATGACATCCTTCTCCCGCGACTGTTCCCTCCGGGCAATATACATCATAATCAAGTAGTTTTCATACCAGGTATGCAAGGATGTTTCAATATTAGAAAGATAACAAATCCAACACATAAATAAAACAAAGGAAAAATTGCATGATCATATTAATTGATGCAGAAAAACCATTTGACAAAATCCAACACTCATTCCTAATAAAATAAGAATGAAAGAGAAATTCCTCAACATAATTAAGGGCACATCTACAAAAAAACACCCAACATCATTTTCAATGATGAGAAACTGAAGACATTCCCTTTGTGAACAGGAACCAGACAAGGATACCCTTTATCACCACCCTTATTCAATATTGTGGTGCAAGTCTTAGCCAGAGAGAGGTATAAGGCTAGAATGGGAAATTAAAGGCATCCAAATTGGCAAAGAAGTAAAACTCTATTTGCAGACAAAACGTTGCCGTACTTAGAAAATCCCAAAGACTCTGCAAGAAAATTATTGGAACTCATCAGTAGATTTCGGCAAATTGTCAGAGTACAAGATCAACATACAAAAATCATTTGGATTCCTTTACACTGATGAAGAGAGCTCAGAAATGGGAACCAGGAGGGCAATACCATTTACAAAAGCCACTCCAAGAATGAAATATTTGGAAATAAATCTAACCAGAGAACTACAAAACACTACTACAATAAACCAAAAAAGACCTTCAGAAATGGAAAATGTCAGCACTATGCAAAGCAACCTATAACTATAATGCTATCTCATGGAGAAAAGAATGAAGTTGTAGAAGACTTCATTTTGCTCAAATCAACCAGCAACACCCATTTTGCTGACTGTGCGATTCAAACCAAACTTGCAGTCCTGTGCTTATCATACAGCACCATATCAGGACACTCTAACATTAATCACAAAGTTCCCAAAACAGAAAATAAGTGCTTGTGAGGGTGTGGAGAAACTTGGATCTTTCTAAACTGCTGATGGGACTGTAAAATGGTGCAACAAATGTGGAAAATGGTATGGTGCTTTCTCCAAACGTTGGAAATAGAAATATTGCATGACCCAGCAACCCTCTACTTAGTATATATCTTCAATAAATAAGAGCTGCGGCACAACTAGATATAGGCACGCCCATGTTCACTGCAGCATGGTGTATTTGCTTCCTTTAAAATAAGTAGTTTCACAAGTAATTCTGATGAAAACCAGATATTGAGATTCATTTTCCTATTGCATATCTTCCTTTTCTTGGTTAAGAACTGGGGAAGAAGGAGGTGAATTGAGAGTGGAGCTTGTGTGCTAGTAAGAGATGGGGGTGGTGAGATGATTTTTTGTTGTGCTCTGATTAGCTGACTTGTTTGGGGCTTTAGTATCAGCCTGCTGTGTATGTGTGAATCACCAGATGCAGCCTTTTCTAGAATCCGCTAACGTATTAGTAGCAGCAGCTCTATAACCCTTTGGCCTTGATTGAATAATTCATTAGGGCATGTGTGTCTGGTGGTGGCCCAAGAGTGGCAGCACTGATGTTTCCAACCCCCCACCCCACAATTTTTTTCTTTTTATCCATATCCTGAAGTGTGAGCCATTTACTGTCAAATCCTTTGAAAACATGTCAACTGATTGTGTCGCCATCAACATCATTATCATAGTCTCAATGACATCTATGTTGAAAACTTTCCTATGGTGGCACACAGTGTTGTCCAGTGACAATTATTCTTATCTTACACTGTTTTTTCAAGGAGAGCCCTTGAAAGAGAAGCCACTTTTTGGTGTACATGTACCAAGAGAGAGCTAAATGATTCAATGGGACAAATGATTGTAACTTTCCTTGCGTTCTCCAGTTGCTGAATTTAACAGTCATGTTTAAAGGCTGAAGGTGCAATTAGGGGAACAATATGGTATTCATACCTGTTCTTTATGTCTTCAACCATACTTTTATTAGTATCTGAATAAATTATTTCTTTAGGCTGAAATACAGACAATTGAAATTTAAGAAATATTGTTAAGGAGATGGTCTTTACATTACATTCACCCCCAGTGTGCTAGTTATAATAAGGGAAAACCCAAACCAGCCTCAAGTGGACAAATGGAATTAAGATCAATGGAAATTTCCCATGAACTTTTTAAAGCTCTATCTAGAGCACAGTGTCTCCGTTGGCTTCAGTACCCATAACTAGAACTGATTTACCAAAGAAGGTATTTTTCATGCGTAAGACAGAATTGCTGCCTTGATTTAGTCAAACAAGCATTTGCCATATTTATTGATTCCACCAGGTAATCTTTACAGCAGCACTAGTCCCTTTCATTTACCGTGACCTCGGCTAAGTTACTTGGCTAAGTTACTTAACCGCTCTATTATTTTTTGTTACTCTCCTACGGTTTCTATGCAGTCCTTTCTCCCTCTGGGCTCAAAGCTTTTAGTTTATGTGTTTTGCAATTGCCTTCTCCCTGGCTTTCTAGGTACTTGGGGGTACATTCCTTATTATGTTATAATAGAGGCAATCATAATGCATATTTAAAGTACATAAAAAAAATCTTGTGAAGATTTTGAAACAGAGTAATACATACAGTGAATATTTAGTAACCATCAGGTATTACTATTACTCTTTTAACCTAGTTTATGGAGTCCCGGTGTGGTGCTGTGGCTTAATGTGCTAGACTGCAAAGTCATTTGAATTGCAAGGTCAGCAGTTCAAGCTCACCAGTTGCTCCTTGGAAACCCTATACAGGGTCACCATGAGTCGGAACCTACTTGACGGCATTTAACAACAACAACATAGTTTATAAGGAACCCTAGTGGCGCTGTAGGATACACCCTGGACTGCAAGCCACAAGGTCAACAGTTCAAACCCACCAGTTGCTCCTTGGGAGAAAGATGAGGCTTTCTGGTCCCATAAAGATTTACCACCTCAGAAACCCTATCCAAGGCTGCTCTGTGTTGGAATTGACTAGATGGCTGTGGGTGTGGCTTTTTAAAGAAAATATACAACTTATTATTGCCCTTCTTTGATGAAGCATTCCATTTCCTTCATGTGGCAGGATCTAGGCTTTTGTATTTATGCGCATGCACATGCAAGCACACATTTTTAACTGTGGTGTAGATGGTTTCACTGTATGAGTACTCCACAACTGAGGAACTGGTTCCAATGTGCATATGGGAATAAGTTCCTCTGAGGTATATACTTAACAAGTGGAATCCATGCACCAAAGTTTGAGCACTGTCAACTTAACCAAATACTATCATATTATTTTTCAGTTTATAGCAATTCATGCAGCAAAATCATTTTGTTGCATCTTTGCCAACACTTTGAATGAAGCACACTTTTTTAGTGTGTGTCAATTTTACACGCATCATATTGTTTTAAATTGTATTTCCCTGTTCATGAATGAGGTTGGACATTTGAGTTTCTGCTTCTATGATTAGCTCTTTTTTTTATTGCCTTTTTCTATTGTTCTTTACTGCTCTCATATGTTTCTCTGCCGTCCTTTCTCCCTCTGCGCTCAAAGCTTCTAGTTTATGTGTTTTCAATCGCCTTATCCCTGGCTTTCTAGATAGTTGGGGTACGTTCCTGATGTTTTACTGAGTCCTCAATAGATCCATATATATAGATCCATCTGCCAGTCGTCTGTCAGTTTGTCTACTGTGGTTGCTTATGATTCTGGAAACTATGCTGCCGGTATTTTAAAAACCAGCAGTGTCAACCATGGTGGACAGGTTTCAGCTGAGCTTCCAGATGAAGACATAACAGGAAGAAGCAGTGATGAACTACTTCTGAATATTTAGTCACTGAAAACTTTATGAATAGCAGAGAAACACTGTCAGATATAGTGCCGGAAAATGATCCCCTAAGGTTGGAAGGCACTCAGAATGTGACTAGGGAAGAGCTGCCTTAAAATACAGTTCACCGTGATGACATGAATGGAATAAAGCCCATGGGAGTAAAACCCGTGGGACCTCCATTTGCTGATGGGGCACACTCAAAATGAAGAGAAATAGTTATAAACATCCACTGAAAATCGGAACATGGAATGGACAAAGTATGAATCTAGGAAAATTGGAAATTGTCAAAAATGAAATGGAATGCATAAACATCAATATCTTAGGCATTAGTGAGCTGAAATGGACTGGTATTGGCCATTTTAAATCTGACAACCACATGGTTTACTATGCCAGAAATGACAAATTGAAGAGGAATGGTGTGGCATTCATTGTCAAAAAGAACATATCCAGATCAGTCATGAGGTACATCACTGTCTGTGATAGGATAATATCCATGCGCCTACAGGGAAGACCAGTTAATACCACTATTCTTCAAATTTACACACCAACCACTAAAGCCATTGAGGATAAAATAGAAAAATTCTACCAACTTCTTCAATCTGAAATTTATCAAACATGCAATAAAGATGTATTGATCATTACTGGTGACTGGAATGCAGAGGTTGGGAACAAAGAGTAAGGATCAGTAGTTGGAAAATATGGCCTTGGTGATAGAAATGATGCTGGAGTTTGTTCAAATCAATAAACCAAATCAGTGATTTGTTCATTTCAAATACCTTCTTTAGACAGCATAAGAGACAACTATACACATGGATCTCACCAGATGGAATACATAGAAATCAAATTGACTACATCGGTGGGAAGAGACGATGGAAAAGCTCAATATCACCAGCCAAAACAAGGCTGCGGCAGACTGTGGAACAGATGATCAATTACTCATATGCAAATTCAAACTGAAGCTGAAGAAAATGAAAACAAGTCCACGAGAGCCAATACATGACCTTGAATATATCCCAACTGAATTTAGAGATCATCTGATGAACAGATTTGATACATTAAACACTAAAGACCGAAGATCAGAAGAGTTGTGGGATGACATCAAGAACATTATATAGAAAGAAAGCAAAAAGTCATTAAGAAGACAAGAAAGATGGAGAAGAATCAAAATGGATGTCAGAAGAGACACTGAAACTTGCCCTCCAGTGTAGAAATGCTATGGGAATGAAAGCAAATGGAAAAAATGAGGAGGTCCAAGAGCTGAACAGAAAATTTCAAAGATCAGCTCGAGAAGATTAAGCCAAATATTACAATAAAATGTGCAAAGATCTGGAATCAGAAAACCAAAAAGGAAGAACACGCTCAGCATTTCTCAAGCTGGGGGAACTGAAGACAAAATTCAAGCCTCGACTTGTGTTATTGAAAGATTATTGAATGATGCAGAAAGCATCAAGAGAACTTGGAAGGAATACACAGAGTCACTGTACCAAAAGGAAATGGTTAATGTTCAACCGTTTCAAGAGGTAGCATATGATCAAGAGCCAATGATACTGAAGGAGGAAGTCCAAGGTGCATTGAAGGAATTGGCAAAGAACAAGGCACCAGGAAGTAATAGAATAAAAATTGAATTCTTTCAAGAAAGTGAGGCAGCACAGGAGGCACTCACTCATCTATGCCAAAACATTTGGAAGACAACTATCTGGCCAACTAATTGGAAGAGATCTGTGTTTGTACCTATTACAAAGAGAGGTGACCCAATGGAATGCAGAAATCATTGGACAATATCTTTGATATCCCATACAAGTAAAGTTTTACTAAAGGTAATACAGAAACGGCTGCAAGCATACGTTGACAGAGAACTTTCAGAGGTTCAAGCCGGATTCAGAACAGGCCGTGAAATGAGGGACATCATTGCTGATGTCTGATGGATCTTGGCTGAAAGGAGAGAATACCAGAAAGATGCTTACCCGTGCTTTATTGACTACACAAAAACTTTTGATTGTGTGGATCATGACAAGCTATGGACAACATTGCGAAGTATGAGTATTCCTGAACACTTAATTGTGCTCATGAGGAATCTGTACCTGGACCAAGAGGCAGTTGTTCCAACAGACCATGGGAACACTGAATGGTTTAAAATTAAGAAAGGTGTGCGACAGGGTTGTATTCTTTCACCATACTTATTCAACCTGTATGCTGAGCAAATAATCCGAGAAGCTGGGTTCTATGAAGAAAAACGTGGCATCAGGATTGGAGGAAGACTCATTAATAACCTGTGATATGCAGATGATACAACCTTGCTTGCTGAAAGTGAAGAGTACTTAAACCACTTACTGATAAAGATCAAAGACCACAGCTTTCATTCGGTATGGATTACATCTCCATGTCAAGAAAACAAAAATCCTCACCACTGGACCGATTAACAACATTCTTATCAATGGAGAAAAGTTGGAGGTTATCAAGGACTTCATTCTTCTTGGATCAACTGTCAACACTCCTGGAAGCAGCAGTCAAAAAATCAAACAGCATATTGCATTAGGCAAATCTGCTGCACAAGACCTTTTTAAAGTGTTGAAGAGATGTCAGCTTGAAAACTAAGGTGTACCTGACCCAAGCCATGGTTATTTTCAATAACCTCATATGCATGTGAAAGCTGGACAGTGAATAAGGAAAACCATGTAAGAATTGATGCTTTTGAGTTACGGTGTTGGAGGAGAATATTCAAAGTGTCATGGGCTGCCAAAAATCCCCCAACAGATCTGTTTTGGAAGCAGTGCATCCAGAGTGCTCCTTTGAGGCCAGGATGGCCAAACTTCGTCTCTCATACTTTGGACATCAGGAGGGACCAGTCACTGGAGAAGGATATCATGTTTAGTAAGGTGGAGGGTCAGAGGAAAAGAGGAAGACCACCAGCGAGATGGATTGGCAAAGTGGCAGCATCAGTGGGCTCAAGTGTGGCAACAATTGTGAGGTTGGCCCAGGACCAGGCTGTGTTTTGTTCTGTTGTGCATAGGGTCGCTAAGAGTTGGTACAGACTCAATGGCACCTAACAACAACAACTGTAGATTCATGAGCCCAGCCATCTGGTGATTCAGTCAGTTCCTTGTCTTAGAACTGCACTTTCACTACCTGTTTCCCTAGTGTGTATCTCCAGAGAGTCTCTCATTTTATCCCGTTTATTTTGTTAAGTGCCATGAAGTCAGTTCTGACTCATAGCGACCCTGTCTACGGTTTCCAAGGAGCAGCTTGTAGATTTGAACCACTGACCTAGTGGTTAGAAGTTTAGTGCTAAGCCCACAGTGCCACACCAGGAGTCCAAAGGTTTATCCTCAGGTCTTCTTTCATAGAAAGGGAGCTGGGGAGCCTCATAAAGATATTGGTTTGTTTGTTTTTTTAAGTGGTTCCCTGACATTCACGAAGTGTGTTTAGACTTTTCTGACACCACTGCATCACCCCACTCACTGCTAGCATTATTCCATGAGATAACTATCATGACTTGGAATCCAGAAAAGTCTTATTTGTTTGTCAATGTGTATATTTTATTGTTGCCATGGATATGGAGCAGAAGGTCTAGGTCAAGGAAGAACTTATGACCATCTTGAACATTTTGTTTTATGTTTGCATTTTAAATAATTTGATTTTAAGATCTAAATTTGTATTTGAGATGATAGCTTCTTAATTTCTCCTTTTTCAGGTAGAGGAAAGTAACCAGATCAGCCCAAACATGGACTAGATGACAAAGAATTCAGCTATGTAAACATAACAAGAGCTGTCCACACAAATAAAGACAAGCATCGACAGCAACTTTCATTTAGAAACACTTTGGAAAATATGATTTACCTGTATGCTTTGTGCTTTGGTCCCTTGAACATGTTTTGGAAGCAACTGTTTCCAGAGACTTTCCTTTGAATAGTCAAAATTTACAGCCATTGGTGTATTATTTTGTTGAATATTAAACCATACCTATTAAAACACAAACATAAAAATCAGTGTAGGCCCTTGGGAGCACAAGGCTCATGGCTGATAATGATGGAGAAAATGTTGCATTCTTATTATCCAGTGAAAGAGTGCTGGTGGCTCAATGGTTAGGTGCTTGGCTACTAATTGAGAGGTTGGTAGTTGAGTCCACCCAGTGACTCCATGGGAGGAAAGACCTGGTCATCTGCTCTCGTAAAGAATAGTCTAGAAAATGGTGGTGGTGGATATGTGCCGTGGAGTTGGTTCCAACTCACAGCGACCCTGTACAGGGTTTCCGAGGCTGTAAATCTATACAGGAACAGAAAGCCTCATCTTTCTCCCATGGAACAGCTGGTAGTTTCGAACTGCTAACCTTGTGGTTCGCAGCCCGATTCGTGACCACTACGCTACCAGAGCTCCTTAGTCTTGAAAATACTATGGGGCAATTCTATTCTGTTGCATTGGGTTGCTATGAGTTAAAAATGGACTCAATGGCACCTAACTTACTATCACCCAAGGAGAAACCAGGGAGAGCTCTAAAGCTGGAGGTAAACATTGACTGCCTCATTGGTTCTGAACCCTAGACACATCACTGAATCACCCGAGGAGCCTGATGTTTGTCAAAGCTCTCCAGATTCTTCAAATGTGTAGCCAGGGTGGACACCACTGGCTAGGCTCTTAAGAAGACAACTCAAAATAAGATTTGCTTCCATATACTTACATTTCCATCATCAAATAAACAGTCTACACTTTGTAAGGGACAAAATGAGTCAAACTGCTTATGACACTGCCCAGTCAGTGGGTTCCAAAGCAAAAATTCATCTGTTTCCTGAGTTAAGACATAAGCCACATGTCCCTGTTTTGGGGAAAAAGTTAAAGTAATTTTTAGTGGGTGCTGGACTATTTCTGTATGTTGTTATGTATTTTTTTTTCTGGCCATACCTCTTACAATATATACGTTTTTCAATAAAGAATAAAAACTTCAGGTAATAATAAGACTAATATGTCTTTGGAGTCCTGGTGTGGTGCTGCAGGATAATACTGCAAGGTCTGTGGTTCAAACTTATCAGCTGATCCTTGGAAACCATATACAAGGTCACTGTGAGTTGGAACCAACTCGATGGCACTTAACAACAACATGTAATTCAGTAAATATGTGTACCAGAAACTATTCTAAATATTCACACTGATTTTCTCCCTTAGTTCACTCCAAATTTTGTGAGTTAAGGATGATTATTATGCTCGCTTTTCAGATGAAGAATCAGAGATTAAAGGATTTACCCAGGGTAACAGTTAATTCCTGTTTTGTGACGAGGTAATTGACTTTCAGAGAAGCATATGTAACTGCGATCACAGTAAGTAACAGTGTTGAATTTGAACCTTTGTCTGACTGGCCCCAAACTCAGATTTTTAACACTGTGCTGTGTAGCCTGATCCACCTAATTTTGAAATTCTTGTTATTATTTATTTATAATTGTGCTGGTCATTTTTTGCAATTAAGAAGAAGGCTTCACTTCAACCATGCTGTTGTCGTTAGGTGTTGTTGAGCTGGTTCTGACTCATAGCAACCCTATCTGTGTACAACAAGCCACTTCCCAGTTTTGTGTATTCTCACAACCATTGCTAGGTCTGAGCCCACTGAGGAACCACTGTATGCATTACATGAGGGTCTTCTCATTTTCACTGACTCCCTACTTTACCTAGAATGATTATGTCCTTGTTCAGGGACTGGTTCCTCCCAAGAACATGTGCAAAGTAAGTGAGATCAAGTCTTGTCATCCTCCTTTCTAAGGGACAGGCTGGTTGTACTTCTTCCAAGATAGATTTATTCATTCTTCTGGTAGTTCACGGTATTCATGAATATCCATGAACAGTGAATATATTCAATATTTGTTACCACTGTCACATTCAAAGGCATCAGTGCTTCCTCACTCTTCTTTATTTATTGTCCAGCTCACACACAAATATGAGGCAACTAAAAATACTATGGCTTGGGTAGGCGCACCTAATTCCTTAAAATGACATCATCTTTGCTTTTGAACATTTTAAAGATGTCTTCTGCCGCAAATTTGCCCAGAGCAATATGCCAGTTATTTCTTGACTGATGCTTCCATGGACATTGATTGTGGATGCAAGTAAAATAAAATCCTTGATAACTTCAATATTTCCTGTTTATCATGATGTTGCTTATTGGTCCACTTGTGAGGATTTTTGTGTTTCATATGTTGAGGTATAATCCACACTGATGACTGCTCTGATTTTCATCATAAAGTGCTTCAAGTCCTCTTGGCATTCAGCAAGCAAGGTGGTGTTATCTGCATACCCCGTACTGTTGATGAGTCTTCCTTTAATCCAGATGCTGCGTTCTTCTTCATCTCAGATTATGTGCTCAGCATGCAGATTGAATTAATTTGGTGAAAGTATACCACTCTGAAGCACATCTTTCCTGACACAAAGCCATTCAATATCTCCTTGTCCTGGTTCTTTTGGTCTATGTACAGGTTCTGCATGAGCACAATTATGTGTTCTGGAACTCCCATTCTTCACAATGTTATCCATTGTTTGTTATGATCCACACAGTTGAATACCTTTGCATAGTCAATAAAGTACAAGTAAACATCGTTCTGTTATTCTCTGCTTTCAGCCAAGATGCATTTGACATCAATAATGATCTACTCCAGTCCATTCCCTTTTCTGAATCTGCTTTGAATTTCAGAGGGTCCTTTGTCAATGTACTGATGGAACCAATTTTGAATGATTTTCAGCAAAATTTTACTTGTGTTGATGTTACTGATGTTGTTCAATAATTTCCATATTCTGTTGCATCACCTTTCTTTAGAATGGGCACAAATATAAATCTCTTTCAGTTCTTGAACATAGAGTAGCTAAAGCAAATGGAAAAGATGAAGTAAAAGAGCTAAAGAGAAGATTTCAAAGGGCAGCCCAAGAAAACAAAGTAAACTATTATAATGAAATGTGCAAGAGTGTTGGTGTTAGAAAACCAAAAGAGGAAAACTCTTCGGACATGTCTCAAGCTGAAAGAACTGAAAAAAGAATTCAAGCCTCAAGTTGTACTATTGGTGGACAACAACAGTATCATGGCCAAAATGTTTAATGATGAAGGAAGCATCAACAGAAGATGGTGGGAATATACATGTACCTAAAAGAATTGATTCATGTCCAACCATTTTGAGATGTAGCATATGATTAAGAACTGATGGTATTGAAGGAAGAAGTCCAAGTGGCCGTGAAGGCATCATTAGTCATAAACAAGGCTTCATGAACTGAGGGAACAGCAATTGAGATTTTCCTATAAATGGATGCAACGTCTAAAGCACTCACTCATTTATGACAAAAAACTTGGAAGACAGGTTCATACCAACTGTCTGGGTTTAAAGAAAGGGGATCCAACAGAATCAAATATGGAGCTGAGGTAAAACCATGCAGGGCTGCCTCGCAAGGGATTGGCTTAAAGGTACTATTGTTGTTAAGTGTTGTCAAGTCAGTTCCAACCCATAGTGACCCTGTATAGGATTTCTGAGGAGTGGCTGGTGGGTTTGAACTGCTGACCTTGATGTTCAAGTTGTCCTTGCAGTCCAATGCCTTAGCCTACAACACCACACCAGGATTCCAAAAATATAATTGCAAATGTTGAATTACTCTTGGCTGTTTACTGCCATCTAGTGGCATTTAAAACTACAACCAGATAACATGAGACATTAACCACAGGTTTTTAGTTAATAAAGTGGACTCAGAAAAAACAAAATATGCTGAGAAAATATGGGTAAATAAATGACCACGATAAAAATTACATGGTAAGATTAGCAATGTTGATATTTATCAAGACATTCATGATAGAGCTAGAAACAGTCCAAAAGAGGACAGCTTTCTGGAGGTACAAAGGCTGTTATAAAGAAATGCAATCATAAAAATTTCAGTTAGAGAAACATGAATTTCTGGTCCACTTCTTAGAATATTAAAAGCCAGGTCAGTAGGTAATAGGGTGAGATGTATCATATAATAGAGTAATAGAAGCATAGTACGGTAACCACTACCATCACCATCACTGAGTATTTGCCATAAGCCAGTGCCTTGCACATACTGTATAATCTAATATTCCCAGGAATCAACAAAACAACACTATCATGAATACTATATTACTAGGGAGAAACCCAGAAAGAAGCCCTTCTTTATGTTGCAGAAATTTTGATGAACTCACACTATTCTAATATTTTTTTGTCCATAAAATTTCCTAACTACATAGTAAAAATATGGAAACTGGGTTTGAAGTTTCTTAAATTTACAGATGGAATCTGATTTAGTTTTGCTTACACTCTTTAAATATTAACTTGAGCACTTACTTCCAACATTGAGGTTCCCAGGAGGACCAAGGCTTTCTTTCCAAAATACAAAAAGAAATTACAGAGAAGTATGGCATGCTCCTCTTTGTTTCCTATTGCCAAACTGATGCAACGCTAAGACAAATAAATAAATAAAGCAACAAAGACAAAAATAAGTATGAGGAGGGGGAAGTTGAGTAATACTAACAGCCAACAGATTCCGAGCCTGTATATTCACTCTAGTGTCAAATACTCTCGTTTTTTTACCATATTGCTATGATGACAGTAAAGCCAGGGACTCTGACTCCTTTTGCCTGAAAAACCGTTAGGGTTTTAAAAGACTACTTGGAACACTTGTTGTTAAGTGCCATCAAGTTGGTTTCAACCCATAGTAATCCTGTATAGGATTTCCAAGGAGCTTGAACCGTCAACCTTGTGGTTCAAACAGATTTTGCAGTCCAGCGCATTAACCCACAGAGCCACACCAGGACTCCTTGTGAACATTTGGAACACTAGAGTGACTTTCATGATGCAACATTTAATGTGGGTATTGTGTAGAGTAACAGATAGGTCATTTAAAAATGGGACATTTTTGCCTAAGAGAAATCTTAAACTATGCTGGGTATCAGTGACACATGTACTAGTATTGTGAGGAGCTTAATCTGATATTAAATTACATAGCATGTTAGAAATAAGTCAGTGCTATACTCTGCCCTGTGGGAGTCCTGGTGTGGTGCTGGGGGTTAATGAGTGGGACTGCAAAGTCAGTTTGAACCGCAAGGTTGGTGGTTCAAGCTCACTAGCTGCTCCTCAGAAACCCTATACAGGGTCGCTCTGAGTCGGAACCAACTTGACAGCACTTAACAACAATACTCTCCCCTGTACCAATATACTGCTCTTAACACAAAAAGAAAAGAGATAGGAGGGAGCCCAATCAGGAAGATGGAAACTTCAGTTGAATGAAATTGCTGAACAGTAGATCTTTTTGTGTTGTTATGTGCCGTCGAGTCGATTCCGACTCATAGCGATCCTGCACAGGGTTTCTGAGGCTGTAAATCTTTACGGGTGCAGAATGCCTCATCTTTCTCCCACGGAACAGCTGGTAGTTTCGAACTGCTGACCTTGTGGTTCGCAGTCCGATTCATAACCACTACGCTACTAGAGCTCCAGTAGATCTGGGTATAATAAATCAATCCTAAGAAAGTGGTAGGGTTGCTGCATGACTCAAACTGTTTGCTTTTGGCTATGGACCTAAATTTGGCAGTTTGAAACCATCCAGCTGGGTCATGGCAGAAAGGCCTGGAAGTGTGGATCTGTAATGATAACAGCCAAGAAAAGCCTCCTGAAAAGTGTCTTGCTCTGTGACACATGACGGTGCCATGACTGGGGACTGACTGCATGACACCAAGTTTGGTTTGGGGTTTGGTAAAGCTGTGGCAGCTGGAGAGGAAAAGCACCGTAGAGTGGAATACTAATGGTTGTGACTTAATTCCAGTGTGTAGGTGTGCATAGTTTGGAGCCAGAATGTTTTGTTGTTGTTGTTGTTATGTGTCGTGGAGTCGGTTCTGACTCATAGCGACCCTGTACAGGGTTTCCAAGGCTGTAAATCTTTATGAGAGCAGAAAGTCTCATCTTTCTCCTGCGGAACAGCTGGTAGTTTCGAAATGCTGACCAGATGTGTAAAAAGAAAAAAAATTCACATTTCTGAAAGAAAGAGGTAAACAGGAGAGCTAATAGCAGAAAATAAGCTTTTCCTAAGAAAATAACTTTTCCTAAGTTTCAGATACTTTGTATATGTTATCTCATTTAGTCCCTTCAAAACCAGTACGTGATACAAAGGAGGAAATTGAGATCCAAAGAGGTTAAATATCTTTTCTCAGGTCACACAGCTAGTAAGTACTTGACCTGGGATTTGAACTCTGGTTTGTTTGTTTGACTCCAAAGTCCATGTTCTTTCCACTATATATTGCACTGCTCCCTTCCCCACAACCTGTCAGCCTGAAGGTTGGACATTTGAAGGCAGAACATCGAGAAGTATAGTTAGGACCCACTCCCATTTTCTCTACCTGTTCATTTGGTGACAATTTACCAAGAAATTACTCAAACTAGAAATTGACTAATAACTTTGGAAGGGAGATATTTTAAAACTTGATATATTTTAAATTGCTATCAAATGAGAATATATAGTAAAATATATTTTAAGAAATAGTGTTTATTTTACTGTGGTTCAAGTACCCTAATTTAAATATTACTTTAAAAATATGTAGGAAGAATAGAAAGGAATATTGGGAAACATGATTACAGGAAGCTTGTAAGCCCATCTTCAGCCTATAACTGATTATAATACCTAAAAGGGGTTCTAGAACTTGCCCAGTGAAATAATAAGCTTCTTGCAGAGCCTTTGCAGTGTATAGGACCTTAGGTGGAATCCTGAGCCCCATCCAGGATCTCTGAGGTGGGACATTCCCACTTGAAAGGACAAGCAGACCAGCCCAGAGCAGCTAGAGGAACAGAAGATATTTCCTGAAGAAAGACCAGCAAGAAAAAAAAAAAACACAAAAAATGGCAGTCTGTTTGGCTATTACAAGAACAAGCAAGCTAGGCACTGAGGAGCCGTCAAGGCAAGCAATCATGTCCCTTCAGGACAAACTCTCCTCTAAGGCTAAAACTCAAAGGGAATACACACATGAACAGGCATGTGAGCTTGCTGGTGACAACAATGTTCTACATGTGAGTGGACGTGGGGGAAAGTCAGTAATGAACATATGAGCTGAGTTCGACCACGTTCCATAGACTCCTGTCAACCTTGAGAGATAGAAGAGGGAGGGCTGGTTGCTCCAAATTTTGGGGAGACAGGAACTCCTGAGCCCATGGACATTGACCTAACCACGGAGAGCTAGAGCTGAGAGTGAATCGGCTAGCTGATATAAAGTGGGAGGAGTCACACAAGAATGTCCAAACTTGCAGATAGTACCCATTTGACATAGCTTCAGTGGCTTGATGACCAGAGCTCGACAAGAGTAAGATAAAAAGAAATTTGATAAAGGAAGCAAATGTAACTTGCTACAATTTGATGAACTTGACTTATACTTATGGATGTAGTAGCTCCCAAGAGGGAAGGAGTCTTCACATCAAGGATCAAGCCTGTCCCTCTGTACACAGGGCTGATAGGGACGGGCAACTTAGGCATTAGCTACCTAAAATGGGAGATCACAATAAAGGCACAAAGAGTCTGGCTTACAAGTTTCAAGAGGGAGTTTAGTTTCAGAATGTGCAGAAGAAAGTAGAATCCTCACTGAATAGTTCTCATCTTGTCTAGATGGGTTTGGTGAAAGGAAATGGATATAGGACTCTTTTGATTCAATAGTGAGTAATTGTTATCATGACTAATTGCGATTGTCATAACTGTAAAGGTAGAAGTTGTGTAACATAAAGGGGGGAGTAGTTAATCTTACATCCCAGGAACAGGGGACCCTCGGACCATCAAGAGGGAAGAACATGAGCGGAATGTGGGATCCTAACCAGAGAAGCAGTGACACCACACATGGAGGCAGAGACAGCAGAGATGGAGGTAGAGGTGATGGCATGGAGATATAGAGCAGCTGAGAGGACTCTAGACTCATGGAAAGAGAAAGACAGTGTGCTGGCAGCCAGGAGGCTGGCTTGCAGAATGTGCTCTTTGGTTATTTAAATGATTACATATTCCTAAGTACTTTTGTGTACATCAAAAATAAACACACACACACATAGAAGGAGTAATACTAAAAGTATGTTGTTGTTGTTAACTACCGTGGAGCTGGTTCCGACTCATAGTGACCCTCCCTGCACAGGGTTTCTGAGGCTGCAAATCTTTACGGGAGCAGAAAGCCTCATCTTTCTCCCGCGGAATAGCTGGTAGTTTTGAACTGCCAACCTTGAGGTTAGCAGCCCGATTTGTAGCCACTAGTATATGTATGTATATATGTGTGTGTAGAAGACTCAAGCTTGAATGGCAAGTGACACTTGAATCTCAAATAAGCCATGATTATTATTAGACTGCATGACCAAAGAAGTAGTCTTCTGTAACACCACATACAAATTGCAGGCTCAGCTTTTGTGAAGAATCAGTCCATTTTGTTGTTTGTTTGTTTTTTTCAAGATGTTAAGCATGCTAAACTAGTTAAGTCAGTAGAAGAGATAGCAATTTCAAAGAGGTGGAAAAATACTTATGGTGATAAATGCTTCAAGAGGATTTTTAGAGTAGGGAGGACGGGTAGTTTTGGTGACTTATTATTCAGTGAGAGACAATACTTTGTTTTGTGGAAATCTAATGAATTGTATACTCATGGGCCAAAAAAGTTCATGTCAATGAGAAGGCATTATTCAAAAGGAATTCCAAACCCATAGTAAGCATTTAGTTATGGATATTAATTATGAATATTGGGATGGGAGGGTTTGAGTGGTTATTTTTAGCTCAGTTTCTTGAAACATTCTGCAGAATCATAATCCCATAAACACATTCTGATTAGTTCAAAGAATCTTAGCAGAGCATAGAGTAAATGACATCTTTGGAGTTTTACCAGATTTGAATCACTTGATTCTGGAACCAAATCCCATTCTTGTGACACCCTTAGTCACAGCAAGAGATAAGGTAGCTAGCCTATTAAGTTCTGTTTAATACGCTGAAGTTAGTTCTGTGGCCCCTGAATCTGTTTCAGCTTAATCCTAGAATGCTAAAGCATCCTAACAAGTGCCAGACCTTCAGTTCCATATTGGAGATGTCCCTTTTTTAGGATACCACCATATTAATATTTTTCAATTAAAAAATATTTATTCAATACTTACTAAATACAAAGCAGTATACAGTGATGAATATATATATATTTAGACAGGTTGCCAGCTAAATAAGGCCCCATGTAATATTGGGGACTACTTGTCCTAAAACATAACTTCTTGTTTATCTAAAATTCAAATTGAACTGGGAATCCTATATTCATGTTGTTGTTTTTTCTAAATCTTTTTTCATATATATATATGAAAATAAATAAAAATAAGGTCTGCCTCTGGTTTCAAAGAGATTACAATTACAAATGTGGAGGATGTGGGTATGGTTTCAGATGGATAAACAACTAAATATAATGTGGAATGGAAGTATTATTATAGTTAGGGTTATCAGATTTAGAAAAAACAACAACATGAATATAGGATTCCCAGTTCAATTTGAATTTTAGATAAATAAGAAGTCATGTTTTAGTACAAGTAGTCCCCAATATCACATGGGGCCTTATTTAGCTGGCAACCTGTCTAAAGAGAACTTGACTCCAAGGGCTGAAGAGGATCCCTGCTCTCTGAGCTCTTCACTGCTTAGAGGGAGGAATGGCTGGAGAGAGCCTCTAGGACACGGCAGTCTACAGTATGGTACAGGACTACAGACCGTGTAGTCTAGACAACAGCTCTGACTAGCTCTGTGATGAACAGCCATCATACTCTGCAGAAGGTCCTAATATTGCTCTTCTGGAATTCCTGTTCAATAAAATACTTACCATACTGAAAAGATTTTTTTGGTACTTAAAAATATTTCCATAGATTGTCACAGAACTGACAATGATACATAAAACTAACAAATGCTTTTAAACTTGGCAAGGCAACATACAACATAGGTGCATACTGTATTTTTTCAGTTATCTTTAAAAGAAAAGCAAGTAAGAAATAATATAATGATAGTTACCTCTGATGTCATCCATATATCAGAACTGCCATTTTCATCCAGTGTATCAGGCATCAAAGGAATCAAAGATACAAATCGAGCGATGAGGTCCTAAAATAATATTCACTAATATTTACTGAGTGTGCGATACAAGCCTGTCAGCAAACATGGCGCTTCATAAGCATTGTCTCATTTAGTCCTGCCTACAATTTATGAAGTTCACACTTTTGTTATTCCTCTTTTACAGAAGAGGACAAAAACCTACAGTGCTAAAATAACTTGCCCAGGGCCTGATGTCTAATGCAACATGTAGAGTCTCTGGGACTGAGCCCACGTTGGCCTAACTACAGAGAATGCATGTGAGCCATTAGATTTTATTGTAACAAATTATTAAAATGTACACAAAAACTTTAAAGGATAATTGTTAAAGTGAATGGAAGAAAAGATGTTGAACAATGTTGTTGCTGTTAGGTGCCATCGAGTTAGTACCGACTCATAGCGACCTTATGCACAGCAGAATGAAACACTGCCCGATCCTGGGCCAACCTTACTACTATTGCCACGTTTGAGGCCATCGATGCTGCCACCTGGCCAGTCCATCTCGTTGGGGGTCTTCCTCTTTTTCTCTGACCCTCTACCTTACCAAACATGATATCCTTCTCCAGCAACTGCTCCTCCTGACAATATGTCCAAGGTATGAGAGACGAAGTTTGGCCATCTTGGCCTCCAAAGAGCATTCTGGCTGCACTTCTTCCAAAATGGATTTATTGGTTCTTTTGGCAGCCCATGGCACTTTCAATATTCTCCGCCAACACCACATTTCAAAAGTGTCAATTCTTCTACGGTCTTCCTTATTCACTGTCCAGCTTTCACATGCATATGAGGTTATTGAAAATACCATGGCTTGGGTCAGGTGCACCTTAGTCCTTACCAGAAGGAATACAAAGAAATCAAATTGACTACTTCTGCAGAAAGAGACGATGGAAAAGCTCCATATCATCAGTCAAAACAAGGCCAGGGGCAGACTGTGGAACAGACTATCAATTACTCATATGCAAATTCAAACTGAAGCTGAAGAAAATGAAAACAAGTCTAGGAGAGCAAAAATATGACCTTGAATATATTCCACCTGAATTTAGAGATCATCTGAAGAACAGATTTGTTGAACAATAGCAGTAGTTTAATTTGATTTAGATTAAAATTCTTGTAGAATGTTAAAAAGCTTCTACAACAAGGAGATAGCAGTATAGCATGTTTTCTTACACAATGGAAGTGATACTGTGGATTTCGCAACCTCTCTCCATATGGCTGGAAACTCAAGACTAAGGTAAAAATGAGAAAGGGATGCAAATAGACAAACAGTGAATCAGCACAGAAAGTGCACTGTGATGGCTAATTTCATCAGCTGGTAAATAGATGTACAGAGTACATAGGATGGGGTGGGAGGTGCTGAGTTGTCTGTTTATAGAACAAAACAAAAAATGTCTTCTTCACTTCTACTTTCAATGAGAAGCAATGCTTCAGAAGAACACACCTTCGGGAGTACAAGGCTTTATCTTTCCTAGAAGGCAGAGATTTTTCTGTATCATTTTTTAGTTGGTTGTTCAGTTGGTTGGTCAAACACTTGTCTAGTTGCTATTATGAAGTGATCAAATGTGATCAATCCAATTGACCTTTGGTAAAGGAGATTACCTTTCTCAATATGTGTGGGCCTCAACCAACTACTGGAAGGTCTTAAGAGCAAAATAGGAGTTTGCCATAGGGTACAGTCTGCCTCCACACTATAAACAGACATTTTCCCAGAAGTATTCACTCTTCTTGTCACCTGACCTCTGAACTTGGGGACATAAAACTGCAGGAATCTCCAGCCCATTGCCTGATCTATAGATTTTGGACTTGCCAGCCCTAACTATCACATGAACCAATTTCTTCAAACAGACCTCGCTCTCTCTTGTCATGTAATACAGGTAGTCCCCAACTCAGGACACAATCAAGTTATGATGAGCCATACTTCTAACTTTTAAAATATCCATTTCTTACTTTTAGCAACATGTACTACATATAATATTGTAGTGCACAATTTCTGATGTCATCATTTTCTTGCCAAAGACAAATAAAAATCAGATTTATAAAGATTCTCTGACAATAAATGCAATAATAATAATAAAAACAAAACAATGAGGCATTCGATTTATGTTAGAATTGACTATGGCAGAGTCATCCATATGGAACTCCATCGTAAGTCAGGGACTTCCTGTACAGGGCTCTGTTTTTCTAGAGAATCCTAAGACAGTCATGAACATCTTAACTGATTTATAATGGCTGCAGTTACATACACTATTGCATTTTCTACACACAATGTACTTTTTGACTACATGCAATTAATTAACTATGGTTCACAATCCTTGACAAGCAAAAGAGCTAAAATTTATATTTAAAAAAAATTGAAAATGATATTGTGGAACTCAAGACTAACACAAATAATCCTTGGATATTGGTTGTCAGGAAACATAGGGACAGAAAGGAGAGAGTAGCAAAAAAAAAAAGTTAGGACTTTGGTTTTTACAAAATAATTTCTTAAAGGGAAGTTTCAAAGTAGGATTCGAAGTACATTGTTTCATGAGTATCATTCCATACGAAATTGAATTCTGAGTGTGCATCTCTACTATCAGCGGGTAAACAGATGGCCAGAAAATACAGAAGGATGGGGTGGGAGGTGTTGAGTTGACTGTTTACAGAACAAAATATAAAATATCTTGCAATCCTTCAGAAAAGCACAACACCTTTAGGAGTATAATGGTTCGTCTTTCCTGGAAGAATAATGATGCCAGTATGGTCATACAGACTGATAGGGCAACGGTAATTCTCTACTCCAAGTCGGCAGAAATCAAGGGGCCCACGCAGAAACATTTTCTTCTATTTGGTGCTCAGGAGGACACTGGGTGGCCTCTCTCTTAGGAAATTTTAGCAAAAATATTATACCCAAAGTTACCCATATATAGGTTGCTGTTAAGTACCATTGATTCTGACCCATAGTGACCCTGTGTTTATATGTATATATATGTTGTTGTTGTTGTTAAGTGCCGTCGAGTCGGATCCGACCCATAGCGACCCTGTACAGGGTTTCCGAGGCTGTAAATCTTTACGGGAGCAGAATGCTTCATCTTTCTCCCGCAGAGCGGCTGGTAGTTTCGAACTGCTGGCCTTAAGGTTCGCAGCCCGATTCGTAACCACTACGCTACCAGAGCTCCTTAAAACTGACTTAGCAGTGGAGCACATTAACCCACAGCGCCACACTAGGAAACCATATTGTTGTTAAGTGCCGTCGAGTCGGTTCCGACCCATAGCGACCCTGTACAGGGTTTCCGAGGGTGTAAATCTTTACGGGAGTAGAAAGCCTCATCTTTCTCCCATAAATATATAAATATAAATTTATATATACATATAAATTTAAAGAGATGGTTATACTCATACTAAAAACAATTTAGATGGACGAATTGTATAATACAGAAAGTATATATCAACAATGCTATTTAAAAATAAAAATAACTTACAAGTGTTGCATTTGAATCATGAAGAAAAATATCTAGAAGTTGTTGAGGTGGATTTAATGCCTTGATATATCTTGTTACTAAGATCTGTATACCTTCATCATTAAAAACAGTAGTTGTGATTCTTCGATTTGGAAATATTGCCTTACAATTTTTTTTAAAACTCTGTGCTCTTTGCAAAACATCTATTTGATCTGAAAACTAGAATAAAATTTAAAGTATTTTAACATTGTCCATTATCGTTCCCACAGGAAAACATCAAGAATCAATCTTTATCAGCTTTGTAATCATTACGACTGGTTTTTAAATGAGTTTACACTTCTTTGAGGATATGTATATATATATATAAAAGTAATTCTATGTGACACCTACCTTATTTGGTTCTGGATTGTAGGTGACATATGATATTTGAGGTTCAATGGTAGCAAAAATATTTAAATAGGTACATTCTTTTAAATTCTGCCCATTGTAATCTTCTTTAGGGGACACATAAGTTTTACTCCAAGTATAACCAAGCAAAACTGATGGAATGTTTACTTGAAATGTTCCACTAATCTGAAAGAGTGTTTCAATGTAACATATTATGCATGATGAAAACCAACATCAGTCAGATATACTATGAGAAGTCTACATCTCTTCTACAGCTCCGATTTTGCTATAGAAGGGAAAAGACTTGCACGCGTGCACGTCGGTTGTACTAATATGTGCTCAGATTACCAAGGAGTATTTGGCTTTCCAGCACCTTGGGTTCCTGATGTGTATCATAGAAGAAAAAGATGAAATGAGGAAGCAACTTACCATACACCAAAGTAATCAAATCTCTCAGAAAATGTGCTTAATTTTATTTTTTTACATTTGGCATTGGGTCTAGAAAGAGAAAGGAACCCTGGTGGCACAGTGGTTAAAGTACTCAGCTACCAACCCAAAGATCAGCAATTCAAATCCACCAGCTGCTCTATGGGAAGAAGATGTGGCCCTCTGTGTCCATAAAGGTTTGTTGTTGTTGTTATGTGCCATAGAGTCTGTTCCGGCTCACAGTGACCCTGTGTAGGGTTTCTGAGGAACAGCTGGTGAGTTTGAACCACCAACCTTTCAAACCCATCTGTTAGTTCAGTGCTTATCCTACAGCACTACACCAGGACTTACAGCCTTGGAAACCCTATAGGCAGTTCCACCCTGCCCTTTAGGTTCCCTATGAGTTGGGATTGACTGAATGGATATGGATTTGATTGGGGTAGAAAGAGCAAGACTGTAACCACAGGAAGAACAACCCTGAAGTTCAAAGGAGGAGGAAGAGACAGAGAAAGAGAAGTTTAAGAAGAGGAGATAAATTACATTAATAATTACTACTAATAACAGCTAATAGTTATTGAGTACTTGTTAAGAGCAAGGCACTGTGACAAGTACTTGAGCTAGATCATATCACTTAATGAGGTAAGATGCTGCCCTTATATCCATTGTACAGAGGTTCTGAGAGTTTACGTAATTTGTATAAGGTCACAAAACTAACGAGTAGGGGAGCCAGGATTATATTTCAGGTGTATCTACCTCTGAAGCCCACATTCCTAACTACCTTTCTACCCTACACTGTGGTCTGAGACTGAGAACCATCCCTGGAGATTTATAACCCTTAGAAGCCCTCTCCTCCTGTACCCCAATCTAGATCCCTATTGCTGTTTATTTCTAACACTTGTATTTGCAGCATGACCCCTCATGGCGTTGTGTGATTGCACTCCAACTCTACTCCCCAGTAGCCATTCTCTTGTTGTTTCTTAGCAACAATGTTAGGTGGCAATGTTATAGCTGTGGAGTGATTACGTCACACAAATAAAATGTAAGCTGAAGTTGACTAGGGTTGATTAGGGGAGCTGCCTGTTTTGCTGATTCAGGTACCACTCTTTCTTGCTTCTTCTCCCTTTCTCTTACCTATAACATGGGTATGAAGCTGGAGGGGCATATTTTGCAACCTTGAGGATGAAAGCTCCCTAATACAAACTGTGGGAATAGAAAAGCCAAAAGGAGACTACGCTTATGGATATTCTCGAGCTGCCGCACTAGCATCTGAACTTCTTCATGGGTGCAGTTATAAATATGGGTTTCCATCACTACCTGAAAGTAGAGCGTTTCTATGAAACATTTGGTAAGCTGAAATGGTATAAAGTGAAGAAGCAGTTATCATTGATTTATATAGAAAAGGAATTGAATATTCCCAGACTCAAGGAATAACCTACCAAATCATACCAAATAACATATAAAACCTAAAATAACAGTAACATATAATGTTCACAGATCCAATTCAAAGCTATAACAACTTGATGCGAAGATGCTGAGTGTAGTTCCCAGGGAAGGAGCTTGGCGACTCCACTCTACCTCTCAAAGAACATACTGCCTCTTTACCTGCTCGCTGAAAAATGCACAACGAACGCTAGTTTTGTTTTTTGCCTCCCGTCCCTTTTTTTAAAAATGAAAATCTTCTTTGGATTTCTTTCAGTTAGGGAAAACAGGTGCCAACATAGGTCTTTCATAAAAGTGAAGTGGCATAAAGTAAACTTTTGAAAAGCGGGGGCTTACCTTTAGAGACCTTACTTATGTTAACAACTGTGAGTTTTTTTGTGCTTGCTGCTGAGAGCAGTCCTGATACACACATGTTCCCTTCTGAATCAAATGCTCTGGTTTGCCTGACAAATCCCTCTACTCATCTTTAAGGACTTTGTTCAAGAGTTGTCTCTTTTGTGAAGTCTTCCTTGACACTTCATTTTCCCTCATCACCCTGTTGCCACCTGTACTCTTACCCCACATCTCATCCTCGTCCTCTAACCCAAGAAGCGAGGTACTCCCTACGAGTTCCCACAGTACTTGTCTCATGCCTGTTAAAGGACTACAACATCGTAATGTTGTACTGAAAAGTCAGTTTTCTTTAATAGACAATGAACTCCTTGAGGGCTAGAAATTAATTTCTGAATCTTCAGTGTCTGTCACAGATTCAGAGATGTGAAGTCAAGAACCTAGGGTTACACAGATGTTGTTGTTGTTGTTGTTAAGTGCTGTTGAGTCAGTTCCAACTCATAGCAACCCTGTATAGGGTTTCCGAGGAGGGTTTGAACTGCCGACCTAGTGATCATGCAGTGAGAGCCAAAACTGAAGTGTTGGCTGGGACTTTTTATATATTGCGGATCACAGAGGCACATTCCTGATACATAATCCAACAGGAGAGCCCTCTAGATGGATTTGGGGAGTGTCAAAGAGATCAGGTGCTAGTCAGCCACCTCACCTTTATCAATAAATACTGCTGACTGATAAGCTAAAACTCCAGGGTGGGATTCATGACTACAAAGAACCACCATCAAGCAGAACATTTCATTAATCTGGTCCTACTGAACTACTCAGGAGCCCTGGTAGTGTAGTGGGTTACAAGATGAGTTGCTAACCCCAAGGTCAGCAATTCAAATATATCAACTACTTGGTGGGGTGGGGTGGATGAGGCTTTCTGCTCCAGTAAAGATTTACAGCCACAGAAACCCTATTATACAGGGTGGCTATAAATCGGAACTACACGACACATAATCACCATCACCACCATTAAACCACTAAGATCACTGGTGGTACGGTGGTTAAAGAACTCAGCTGCTAACTAAAGTCAGTGGTTCAAATCCACCAACTGCTCTGTGTGAGAAAAATGTGGCAGTCTATTTTCACACAAAGGAGCTCTGGTAGCGTAGTGGTTACGAATCGGGCTGTGAACCGCAAGGTCCGCAGTCGAAACTACCAGCTGCTCCGCGGGAGAAAGATGAGGTGATCTGCTCCCGTAAAGATTTACAGCCTCGGAAACCCTGTTCAGGGTCGCTATGGGTCGAAACCGACTCGACGGCACTTAACAACAACAACAACAACATTTTCATACAGATTTACAATGTAAGAAACCCTATGGAGCATTTCTACTCTGTCCTAAGGTTCACTGTGAATCAGAAGTGTAACAAACTATTATGCCAAAATATGAATATTGCTTTAAGGTCTAAGGCCAGCTAGCCTATTCTCCTTCAGTAATCACTCTAAAGGTGTAAGAAATAAATCTGTGGGTGATTTTTGTTATAGAAACATACAGAACTTTTAAATACCCCCAAAATTTCAGGGATATTCTTATTACAGGACCATTTTAACTGACCTACCAACCTGCTAAAGGAGCTTTGGTAGCATAGTGGTTACAAGTTGGGCTGCTAACCTCATGGTCAGCAGTTCGAAACTACCAGCAGTTCCACAGGAGAAAGATGAGGCTTTCTGCTCCCATAAATATTACAGCCTCAGAAATCCTACGCAGGGTCACTGTGAGTCGGAACCCCATGGCACATCACCACCACCACCAATCTGCCAACCACAGAATTTAAGGTAACAATGTTTCTATTAGCCAGAAGTCAAAAATTAGAATATTTAGCAAAGAAATTTTTTTTTATCACCTCAGATTGTTGCAGAAGAGCAGAGAAAGGGAAGACAATAGACCCAAGCCAATTCTTCCTTACATATGCGTGACACATGCAGCTCTTGAGACAACGATCCTATTAAAATAAAGTTTTTCTATTACTTGTTTAGTACTGATGAATAATTTCACACATAGAAAACCAATTTTGCAATCCAGCACTTTAACCTACAGTCTACAGCGCACCCCACCAGGTAGACTGTGATAAATTAAAGAATCTATTATAAACCCTCAAGCAACAATTAAATAAAACAAAGAGGTATCGCTAATACGTCAATCAATAGTGAATTATGTGATTTATGATCTCAAGTACTTTTTAACAAACTTGTCACACATCTGATTTTATTGCATAGTGCCATAAATCTTTCTAGAAAATGTTGGATATAGATATTACATCTAAAAGCAAATTTACAAATATGTTACTAGAGTATATTTAGCTTGACCTTTATGATTTCAACATTATTACAATCATTCTATTTTACCTCATGTTTTTCAATCATCATTTCATCAAAGATATTGATATATATATTATCTTTTATTTTAGATAAACTTGAGAAGCTGTAATCATGTCCTGGTGAGCTGCAAAATAGGAAAGCACATGTAAATGTTTACTTTGGTCACAATCCATTTATTTTATAAGAGCAATTCTCACAAACGACTATAAAATTACTTGTTTTCCTTTTCTTTTTAAAAGTATAACTAAGAAGAAGCTATGTGGCACAAAGAGCTACCACCTCCTCTAATGAAACCCAGTTGTACTTTGTAATTTATCTTTTCTCTAGCTTAAGGTAATTTGCACAAAAAATAAAAATGTTTAAACGTTAAGTGTAAAGACTTTCACTACAGCCACCTACTGCAAACAATCTGAAGTATAGGACTTTCAAACCACACTAAATTCTGTAAGTTCTTGTTAATTTGTCCATACAGTTAGAATGTTCTTTTGCTCTCAGTTGGTAAATCTGACTCTTTAACCATAGAGCTTATTTTCTTTTCCATAATTATTTTCTCCAACCAGAAATTGGGATAGTAGAGTGCATTTAATTTTTAAACCATCTGCTGAGAGCTCACTTGATTGGGTACTTTTTGGAGATATCTGAAAGAATACTTTAGTCAATGTTGGATTACCCAATAAGCAACGTAAACATGGACTTCCTTGTGCTTATTTACTAATCTGTAGCGAACAGTTTCACATGTCTTTCAGCATATAACCCATGCTGTTAGCTACAGAATAGTAAGTAAGCAAAAGTAGGCTTATGTTTCCGTACTTATTGGGTAATCTGCCATGAGTGCAGAATATCATGAGCAATAACAACGTCCACAGCTTGCATATAGAATCTTGATCAAATCTCTAACAGAAATGAAAATCAGTCTTGTTCAATAGTTATTTTTTTTAATGTTTTATTGAAAAATATATGATAGTTTACATGGGAGAACTTTAGTTTTACATTCATTCCATCATATATCATCTAACTGCCATGGTTCCAATCCCCTCCATGCATCATCAACCACCCAAAGGGTATATCCCAGAAACCCGCCCCCTACACTTTCCCCTCCTCCCCCCAGTTTTCGGCCCACAGTCCCTTTCCTTCTCT